CATGTCTTCAACACACAACACACACACACACACACACACACACATTAGTGAGACACAATCACATCAGATGCCACATTAACCAGGAACTAAACTATTTCTACTGCTATTAAAGCAAATCAAATTTCTTTAGCTCCAGTTTCAGATAAATATTAAATTGTTTTGCAAAAGGTGATACAGGATGAACCTTTTAAATTAGTTAGTCTTTACGTGTTTTTGTGATAGGATTCTATTTTTTAAACATTCCAGTTGTTTTTAACTGCTTTGAAAGAAGTTTTATCTGAAAACCCAGAATTGTCTGAATTTGAAGAAAACCTAAAAGATGAATAAATCCTAAGAGTATACTTTGTTCATTAACAACTTTCTTCAGAAGATAAATTCAGGAAAATTGCCAGCCTAGAGAATTCTTAGCATTCCCCAAGCATTAAAGGAATACAAGTTATAAGAGTGATGTATAATTTTGAGAAGGGAAGAGTCTCCAGTGCCAGAGTTTCCCACCTGAACACCACAGCCTCTAAGGAGACAAGCTCTAGGGTATAAAGAGTCTTGATTTTCTGAAGACAGAATTGTCAGCAAGGCATGCTAATTGTGTTTCTTGAGGGCTTGTTAAGAAAATTGCCCTAGGGTCATTAGCAGGGGCATATGAGAATCATTTGCTAGAACTAATGGGGCTTCCTTCTTAGAGCTCTCAGAGCCGTAGAAATCCACAGCAGACCCACCTAATTTTCCCACCTCCCAACATGATCGTTCTACTCCAGCCAGTCCTCACTGTTTAGGTCTTTGCATAGGCTATTCCACATGGAACGCTCTCTCCTCCCACTTCCCAGCTGTCTCCTCACTCATTCATAAATGCTTCATATAGGTCTCTTCTTCAAAATGTTTTCTAACTATGTTTAGGTCAGATGAAAGCTTTTGCATCCCCATGAACTCTCGGCACCTAACTCCGGCCTCAGAAACAAACAGAATATCAGACTGGAAGAGATCTTCTATGGTCCAGTCCACATCTTGTCCTTGAGTCCCTTTGAAAAAAAGAGCTGCTAATTTGCCATTCAAATATATTTGCATAAGGCTATTTCAAATGCTTGTGGCTTGGACTGTCCATTCTCTCATTCATGATAAACACACACACAAAAACTCTGTAAACTGGATATGGAAAGAAACTTCCTCACTCTGATAAAGACCATCTACAAAAATTTCCAGCAAACTCATACATTGTGATGAAAGACTAAATACTCTCCCCCTAAATCAGTACGAAGACAAAGATGTTTGCTCTCATTGACCTTTATTCAAAACAGTACTGGAAATTCTAGCTAATGTAATAAGGCAAGAAAAGAGATTGAAAAGGAAGAAGTAAAACTGTTTCTGTTTGTTTGCAGCTAACCTAATCGTCAACATAAAAACAAAAACAAACACATGAAAAATCCACATAAACACTCCTGGAGTTAATGTAGCAATGTAACACACCAAAACTTATGGGATACCAGTGCTTAATGGGAAATTTGTATCTCTAAATGCCTATATTAAAACAGAAGAAAGATCTCAAGTTAATAACCTAATCTTTCACTTTTAGAAAGGTAGAAAAGCAAACTAAACTGAAAGCAAGCAGAAAGGAGAAATAAAGATTTAGTGGAAATAAATAAAATAGGAAATAGAAAAAATTGAGAAAATAAACAAAACCAAAAGTTGATTATTTTAAAAGATCAACAAAATTGACAAACCTTTAGCTAGACTGACCAGCAAAAGAAAAGGCTTAACATACTAAAATCCAAAGTGAAAGAGAGGGCATTGATATGGACCTTGCAAAATAAAAAGGAATATAAGGAGATACTATAAACAACTGTATGCCAACAAATTAATCTAGAAGACATAGGCACATTTCTAGAAAGATGTAAATGATCAGAATTGACTTTAAAAATAGAAGATTCTCATAGACCTATGCAGGTAAAGAGATTTAATCAGTAATTTATAAATTTCCCAAAATAAAAGCCTGGGAACGGATGGCTTTACTGGTGAATTCTATCAAAAGTTTAAAGAATTAATGCCAATCCTTTCAAACTTTCTGAAAGAAGAAGAAGAAGAAGAAGAAGAAGAAGAAGAAGAAGAAGAAGAAGAAGAAGAAGAAGAAGAAGAAGAAGAAGAAGAAGAAGGAGGAGGAGGAGGAGGAGGAGGAGGGGGAAGAGGAAGAGGAGGAGGAGGGGGAGGAGGAAGAAGAGGGGAGGGGGAGGAGGAACAGGAGGAGGAGGGGGAAGAGGAAGAGGAGGAGGAGGGGGAGGAGGAAGAAGAGGGGAGGGGGAGGAGGAACAGGAGGAGGAGGGGGAAGAGGAAGAGGAGGAGGAGGGGGAGGAGGAAGAAGAGGGGAGGAGGAGGAGCGTGAGGGGGAGGAGGAGAAGAAGGAGGAGGAGGAAAAAAGAAGAAAAGCAAGAAGAAAAAGATGAAGAGGAATAAGAAGGAGGAGGAGAAGGTAGTGCTTCCCAATTCATTCTATAAGGCCAATGTTACTCTCATACCAAAATCACACTAACACATCACAAGAAAACTATAGACTTGTATCTCTTATAAGCATAGACACAAAAATCCTTAACAAATTCTAGAACACTGAATCTAGCAACACGTAAAGTCATATGCCATGACTAACTGTGATTCATCCAAGGAATGGAAGGTTGATTCAACATCTAAAACATTCATCAATATAAATACCATGTTAATGGAATAAAAGGCAAAAAGCCTGATAATCCTGGCAGAGGATACAGAGAAACCATTTCACGTAATCCAACACTCTTTCATTAAAAGCATTCAATAATTTAGGACTAAAAATGAACTTCTTTAACCTAATAAAGGACTTATATAAAAAACTTGCAGCTAACATCATAGTTATTGGTGAAAGATTGAAAGCTTTCCTTCTAAGACCTGCAGTAAGATAAGAATGTCCACTCTCACTACTGCTATTAAACATTGTACTAGAGGTTCTAGTCAGGGCAATTATGTAAGAAAAAAATTTTTTAAGGCACCCAGATTCGAAATGGAAGATTTCTGTTTGCCATATATAGAAATTCTACAGAATTTGTACTCACAACAACTGTTAGAACTAATAAGTTCAGCAAGGTTTCAGAATATAAGATCAATATACAAATATCAGTTGTAGTTCTATATACTAGCAAAGAAAAATTCAAAATGATATTAGGAAAACAAGTCCATCTACTCTAATAGCATCAAAAATAATAAAATATCCAGGAAAAAATAACAAAAGAAGCACAGGACTTGGACACTGAAAACTACTAAACATCATTGACAGACATTAACGATAACCTAAAAGAACAGAAAGACAGCTCATGTCCATCAATCAGGAGACTTAATATTGTTAATATGGCAATATTCTCCCCAAAAAGCTACAGATTTAACACATCCCTGTGAAAACTCCAGTTACCTTTTTGAAAGAAATTGACAAGCTGTTTCTAAAATTTACATAATTCAAGAGATCCAGAATAGACAACACGATCTTGAAGAAGAGCAAAGTTAAGAGAGCTCACTCTTCCCAATTTCAAAACTTGCTACAAAGCTAGATGAATCAAGACTATGTGATACTGGTACAAGCATAGACATGTAGATAAACAAAATAGAACTGTGAGCCCAGAAAAAAAACACATATGTCTATGGCGGAGTTGCAAAAATAATTCAGGGAGATCAATAGAATATAATTGAAAGTCTATAAATAAACCCTTAGATACAACACTTAAACCAAAAGCAACTAAAGAAAAAGATAAGTTGGACTCCATCAAAATTAGAATACTTTTGTGTTTTTAAGGACACTATTAAAAACGTGACCCAAAGAATGAGAGAGAATGTTAGAAATCATATATCTGATAAGGATCTAGTATCTATTAGTAATTGTGGGTTTTGCCATTAAAAGTAATGACAATTGCTTTTGCTTTTGCATCAACTAACAGAATACGTGAACAACTCATTACTCAATAATAAAAAGATAATTCAGTTTAAAAACGGGCAAAGGATTTGAATAGCCACTTCTCTAAGCCAAAGAAACAAATGGTCAGTAAGCATATGAAAAGTGTTCCATATCATTAGCCTTCAGAACAATGCAAATCAAAACTATAATGAGATGCCACATGATAACTACTAGAATGACTATCATCAAAAAGATGGACAACAAGAAGTTCTGGCAAGGATGTGGAGAAATTAAAATGCTCATACATTGCCGATGGGAATGTAAAATGGTGCAGCCACTTGGAAAACAATTGGCAACTCCTCAAAAAGTTGAACACAGAATTACCATATGACCTAGCAATTCCACTCCTAGGTATATACCCAAAATAAATGAAAACATATGTTCACATAGTTTCAGAGGGATCATGACCCTGCTGACACTTTGAATTCAGTCTTCTAGCCTCCTGAAGCCGAGAGAATAAATTTCTGTTGTTTTAAGTCACTCTATTTGTGCTACTTTGATGACAGCCCTGGCAACTAATACAGCGAGGTGACCAAGGATCTGTGAAAGCCTGTATGAGGAAGGCACTGGAAAGAGAACCACATCCAAATCTTTGTTACTTTCTCAGGTTTTTCAAAGAGTTGCTAAACTTCAAAATACCAAAAGGTCTTTTTTAATGGAAGTCAAATTTTATCAAATGAAATGTGTCCTAAGATTTATCAAGTGCCTTTGCAATATCCATAAAATATCAATAAAGTGCCTTTGCAATATCCATAAAATATCAATGCTCTTTTGTTCATTTAAAATAGCAAAAGAGAATCCTCACTTGCCTCTCCTCACCTTCTTTCTATTATTATTATTATTTTTTTTTGAGATGAAGTCTTGCTCTGTCACCCAGGCTGGAGTGCAGTGGCACGATCTCGGCTCACTGCAACCTCTACCTCCTGGGTTCAAATGATTCTCCTGCCTCAGCCCCCTGAGTAGCTGGGACTACAGGCATGTAGTGCAGTGGTCTAAACTGGACCACTAGTAGCTCCATTTCTCTTTCTGCAGCTGAAGGAGAATGGAAGACTTCTGGGATAACCACAGCTTCGTGTCTGAGTTCATCCTTCTAGGTTTCTCCAGGGATTCCCGAATTAATGCAATCCTCTTCAACATCTTTCTCTTCCTCTACCTCTCTACACTTGTGGGCAATGGGCTCACTGTCATCTTGATCCACCTTGACTCCCACCTCCACACACCCATGTACTTCCTCCTTAGTGCCCTTTCCATGCTGGACATGAGCTACGTTACCACTACTGTGCCCCAGATGTTGGTGCATCTGGTCTGCCAGAAGAAAATTATCTCCTATGTTGGATGTGTGTCCCAGATGTACATCTTCTTGGTTTTGGGAATCACTGAAGGCTGGCTGTTCTCTGTCATGGCTTATGATAGATATGTGGCCATCTGCTACCCACTCAGATACAAGGTTATTATGAGTCCATGGCTATGTGGAGCAATGATAGTCTTTTGTGGACTGTGGGGTGTCAGCTGTTCCCTAGTCTATACTGTCTTCACCATGTGCCTGCCCTACTGTGGTCCCAATGAGATCAACCACTTTTTCTGTGAGGTCCCTGCTGTTCTGAAGCTAACCTGTGCAGACACATCCCTCAATGACCAAGTAGATTTCATCCTGGGCTTCATCCTTCTCCTGGTACCTCTTTCCTTCATTCTGTCCTCTTATGTCTGCATCTTTGCCACTATCTTGAAAATCCGCTCAGCCCAGGGTCGACTCAAGGCCTTCTTCACCTGTGCATCCCACATCACTGTGGTCACCATGTTCTGTGGACCAGCCATGTTTATGTACATGAACCCTGGGGCCAGTGCCTCCCCAGAGAGGGACAAGATACTGGCTCTGTTCTACAATGTCATCTCTGCCTTTCTCAACCCCATAATCTACAGCCTCAGAAACAAAGATGTGAAGAAGGCTTTCCTCAAAGTAACAGGCTGGGACAGGACCCCTGAGTGAGACTACTGGAGCATAGAAGGCCACAACCAGATCTGAAATCACAGGATCTGTGGCCATGTTACCCAGGCAGGAACCATTGACCGATGGTTAAGGCTGATGATATGTAAAGGTAAGTAGCTGGTGTAGACTTGCTGATGGCTCCAGCATCTGGGCTAGCCTCAACCATCAAAAGACCCAACTGTAGACAGAGTGCCAAGTAGAATGTACTTTTGATTCGTTTCCCCAGGGCTCAGCAAAGGGTCCGGCACAAAGCATCATCAACGTTTGCTGATGGGGTGACTGAGTGTACAAGGATGTGACATATTAAATAAACTCAAGATGGCTGTGATAAGATGGCTCCCAGGACTCCAGATCAGTGACCTTATTTTTATCTCAAATAAAACCATAAACAGATCTAAAGAAACATAGGAGAAAGGAAAAGTGATCCCAGGAATAGGGTTCATGGATTGGCCATTGTCCATATAGCATTTTCCACTGGAATGTGAGTCCCAGGCTGCCTAATCCATCTGGTCGTTGGAGAGGTGAGCTCCTGCAGGGGTGAAGAGATATCTTGAGGGGTTTCTGGGTACACACATAAAACATTACCCAAATCATATCATAGTGATTAAGAGTTTATACTTGGTAGCCAAACCATTTCCTTATCTGTAAAACTGGGTGATATTAGTAACAGCAAATCATCACCTCATAGGATTGTTGTGAGAAGGTAAAGTTTTTAAAACAGTGCTTGAATCCTTTATATAGACACTGCTTCATATAGATGCTGCTATTCTTCTCATCGTCTACTTCTGTTCCTCAAATCTATAGTTACCAAGAAGATATCTGAGACCATTTCGCCTTAGAGAAAAGGACCATTCTGCTCTTTGAAAAGGGATAACTAGCATTACAAATGAAAACACTGGCATTTGTTTACATTTCAATCTGTTGTGGATTTAGTTAGCTTGGGACTGTCACCAAGAAGCTCATGAATTCAGAATCAGCAAAACCTTAAAAATTCACAACAGTTCCTCCAAGTGCTGCCGGAAAAGGCCCTAATTTCAACCAGTCAGCACGCCCCCAAAGACATCTTCATTGCCTTTTCGTAAACCTTTTCATAAACAGTTCCTTAAATCTGAATTGAGTAATAATGGTGCTAATAGAGTACTTGATCCAAAGAGTTGCTGATGGGATATGATCAGCATATTGGAACGTAGGATCCAATAACTCCAATAACTCCAAGGAGTTGCAGTTGGATATGATAGTCATAGTGGTGCTGGCTTCTATTTCCAGTGCCAAGACCTTTACCCATGGTTTTGGCCCCTGATGGTCCCTGGCACCTTGGAGGAGGCATAGACAAGTGGCTCCACAGAATCTTAGGAAATTGTACTAACCACACATTGTCTACAGTATCAAGAAAGTCAGGGACACCTCCAGCGAAGCCTGATTCAGAGAGGAAAGCTTTCACAAGGAACTTCTTCCACCTTTACAGAATCTCCTCCAAATACTACCCTCACCCTTTTCACCACCAAAGGAAAACGGGGCAGGAATTCCAGCATTTTCTTAATCCTTGTCATTATTCTTTTTTTTTTTTTACTTGAAATTTTCATATTTATTGGAGATCTCTTTTAGATGTTTTTAAATACAGATTTTTATTTAACCCTCTTGCATGTACATATCAAATAACAAAAAAGTGAAATATTGAATGAATATACATATAAAATAACAAAAAAGTGAAATATTGAGATATCATCAAGAAATTTCTACAGCTTCACATTCAAACTCTTCAACACTTTCAGAGCTATTGATATGCATACATCCACCTAGTACCTTCTGTGCTTTCAGAGTTATTGGTAAGGCTGTATTTCCTGAGTGCTCTTACCACACTTATGTCTGGATTTTTTTTTACCTAACTGCAGACCCACACTCCTGCAAGTTTTGATACCCTTCTGTTTGACAAAACTCAGTTTCACTTTTGCTGCAGTTTAATCACAGGTCCTAAGATAGAAGATCGAACCTGTGATTGATTTCTCACAAATTGATGTCATATTAACATGTTAATATGAAAATTGTTGTTTGGTAAACCAGAAGTGACCATCTGAAGCCCTCAAATATGGTATTTATGTGTTTATTTTTTCTTTTTCAAGATTCTTTTTTTTTATTATTATACTTTAAGTTCTAGGGTACATGTGCATAACGTTTGTTATGGTTTGTTACATATGTATACTTGTGCCATGTTGGTGTGCTGCACCCATCAACTCGTCCTTATACATCCGTATCATACTCCCATGCAATCCTCTCCCCTCCACCCTCCCATAATAGGCCCCGGTGTGTGTGTTTCCCTTCTTGTGTCCAAGTTGACCTCATCTGTCAGTTCCCACCTAATGAGTGAGAAACAGCGGTTGTTGGTTTTCGTTCTTGCGATAGTTTGCGTGAGAAATGATGGTGTTTCCAGCGCGCATCCATGTCCCTACAGCAACGGACAACAAACTTCATTCTTTTTTATGACTGCACTTAGTAATTGCCATGGTGTATATGTGCCGACATTTTCTTAAACTGCCAGTCTGTCCACTGAATGGACATTGGTTATTCCAAAGTCTTTGCAAATTGTGAATAGTGCTGCAATGAAACATACGTTGTGCATCGTGTCTTATATGCAGGCAATGATTATATCCTTCCTGGAGTGATACACCCAGAATGGAAATGGCTGGGTCCATAAATGGAACTCTAAGTTCTACCGACCTTGGGAATCGCCATAACTGTTTCCACATGGTGAACTAAAGCTTTAACAATCCCACCAACAGTGTAATAAATATCCATTTCTCCCACATCCTCCATCAGCACCTGTGTTTCCTGCCTTTTTTACTGATTGCCATGCCTAACTAGGTGAGATGGCCATCCTCATTGTGGTTTTGATTGCATTTCCCTGATGGCCAGTGAGACGAGGCATAGTTTTCCATGGTCGTTGGTCTGTATGCATTCTTCTTTGAAGAAAATGTCTGTTCATAGCCCGTGCCCCACTTTTGATGGATTTGTTGTTGTTCCTGAAATTGTTTGAGTTCTTTGTAGGTTCTGGATATAGCCCCGTTTTGTCAGATGCAGTACGCATGCAAACATTTCCCCATTCTGAAGTACCTGATTCACCTCCTGAATGGTAGTTTCCTTGCGTGTAGAAAGCTCTTAAGTTTAATTAGAATCCCCATTTGTCAAGTTTGTGCTTTTGTGCGTTGCTTTTGGTGTTTTAAGCCATAGAAACGTCCCTTGCCCATGCCTATGTCCGATGGTAATCCATGAGGTTTCCTCTAGGCGTTTTAATGTATTAGGTCTAACATTTAAGTCCTAATCCATCTGAATTAATTTTCGAAAATAAGGAGTAAGGAAAAGATCCAGTTTCAGCTTCACTTAGGCTGGGCCAAATTTTCCCAGCACCCAATTTTAACTAGGAAATCCTTTCCCCGTTTCTGTGTTTCTCCAGGGTGGGGTTTGTCAAGATCCAAGATTGACTTGTATAAGCATGTGGGATTATTCTGAATCCTTGTCATTATCTGACCATCCACAAGTCCATAGAACCATTTTTTTTTTTCCTGCTCCAAATTTGGCTTTGACTTTTCAAAGTTTTTTTTGCCTAGTGGATACAAACGAGGAGTTAATTATTCAATTTTTTTTTGCCATGATGAAATGCTGTCAGGTTTTTGCTTTAAACACAGAGGAAATTTAAAAACTAGCAATAGTCAGCTTCTTTAATTTTTTTTTTACTGAACTTTTATTAGCTAACAGTCCTCAATAATTTTTTTTTAGTTTCAATGAAGATGACACAAATTCATGCTGGGCACGGTGGCTCATGCTTATAATCCCAGCACTTTGGGAGGCCTCTTTTTTTTAGATCACTTGAAGTCAGGAGTTTGAGACTGGCTTGTTTTTTTTAGTGAAACCCTGTCTCTAGTAAAAACACAAAAATTTTTTTTTTATGGTAGCGCCCACCTGTAATCCCAGCTACTCAAGTTTTTTTTCACCTGTCCATCCCACATCACTGTGGTCACCATGTTTTTTTTTCCAGCCATGTTTATGTACATGAACCCTGGGGCCAATTTTTTTTAAAGTGGGACAAGATACTGGCTTTGTTCTACAATGTTTTTTTTGCTTTTCTCAACCCCATAATCTACAGCTGCAGAAATTTTTTTTTGAAGAAGGCTCTCCTCAAAGTAACAGGCTGGGGCTTTTTTTTTGAGTGAGACCACTGGAGCACAGAAGGCCACAACCTTTTTTTTAACAACAGGATCTGTGGCCATTTTACCCAGGCATGAATCTTTGACTGGTGATTAAGGGAGACTGAGTCAGAAAAATTGTTTTTTTTATGCAGTGAGCCAAGATCATGCCATTGCACTCCAGTTTTTTTTACAGAGCAAGACTCTGTCTCAAAAAAAAAAAAAAATTTTTTTTCAAATTAAAGTCAACCAGATGTCAATGAGGCTAATTTTTTTTTAATAGGAAGGTAGTGAAGATTATGACATTGATGACTTTTTTTTTGATTATAACTGGGTTAAAGAGGAATAATTTTTGGCTTCACATTTCACAGCTGGTTAGAGGGCATTTGCTGAGCATGTTTTTTTTTGTAGTAAGGAAGAAAGCTTAAGATAAATGCTGGGGTTTTTTTTAGAGAGAGCTGGCAGGATCTGTGTAGAAAGATTGGTTTTTTTTATAGACCCAAATCACAAAGTCAAAAGGAAGAATAGTTTTTTTTTTATATGAATTGATGATGCTATCCAGCCTACATCATTTTTTTTGTGGTACCTTGGGAAGAGATGGAAAGAAAAGGATTTGATTCGGCTAGAGAACAGACATTGTGGGGGTAAGGATAGAGGTTTTTTTTGGGAGTTGCTAGAACAGAGTGCAATTTGGGAAATTTTTTTTTTAGAGTAGGAAATAGTCCAGTTGATTACTTAAAAGCTTTTTTTTGAGTACTGCCCCTAAGAAAAATTCGTATTTTGGTATTTTTTTTAAGGGAATATTCAGTGAAGAAATTCTGG